GTGTAATAACAACTTTTCAAAGTAATTTTTTGTCTTACACATGCAAATAGTCTGCAAAAACCCGTGTGGGAGCAAGATGCAGCAGATAGCTTAAGGGTGGTCATTAAATTTACCATCACCATCCTTTCTTGAGCATTTGCCACGTGCCCAGAGCTCTGCTACATGTTTTAACACTCATTATTTAATCTAAAGCTCATCACAGCCCTATGATGCCATTAGTGCCACCATTTTCTAGATGAGAGACTGGAATCTGAGAGCGACTCAATAATGTGCCCAAGGTCAGCCAGCCTCGGAGCTGGCACTTGCAAGCGCTGGTCCTCAAATCAGGGTGCACAACAGGCTGCCTCCCCGAAATGAAACTGACAAAGTCCGTAAGCTCAAAAGCCATTTGTTTTGTGTCCATTCCACAGCTTAAAAATTCCTGATATTCCACAGGAGCCAAAATCAAATTGTCACGAAAAAACAAGCCAAGAGATTGGTGTCTCCAGCCACCCTGGGTGACGCTGGGACAATATGGATTCTAGTGAGTCCACTGTGATCCTTCCCCCATCCATCCATTCACCAGCCACTGGCTGATGCCTCACATGTCAGGTTCTGCTGGTTGCCAGAGACCAGAGAGGGTGAGATACCCACAGCCACCAAGAAACCACAAGGCAAGCACAGGGGCAGGCTGGACCCCAGCACCTTCCACGTACAGGCTTGGTGTCCTCCAGAAATAATCAAAACTCTTTGCTATTCAGGATTCAAACAAGAAAGATAGTGGGGCGAAAATGAAACATAACCTTGCCATTGGTGCCCAGGGGCCAGCTCATCTTCCCCTCTGAAATACTTCAGTTTTCACGACGCTGAGCTGGGACTTGGCAATCCAGCCCATCCTTTAGGAACAGGTACAACACTGGACCAGTCCACTTTAGTGGATTCTCTGGCACTTCACCAAGGCCTTAGACCCAAGATGGCAAGAGAAGATGGAACAAAGCTTTGGGTGTCATGGAAAGCTTGGGTGGGATTTCCCCTCAAGGTCTCAGCCTGAAGACCTGAGCTGCTAAGAGCAGGGACCCTGAATATCCTTTCCAATAGGACCCCATGTGCTTCTCAGAGGCCCAGGCACACAGCAAGTGCTCAGTGAAGTGTTGGTGAATGAATGAATAAATATGATTCTGGGTAAGGCAGCCACACCCCCATCACTATTTGGAGATGGGAGGGGTGTGACCTCCCCCACCCCATCACCAAGTTTTTTGAGACACAGACCAACAGGCACCTATACACTGCAGACTCCCACAGAGTTATATTAATACAATTGAAATATGAATAATAATAGCATCAGTACTACAACGAATGCCGATCCCCATCAGGCAAGTATTTCCTTTCATCTTCACGGAGACCTATGAGAAGTGTACTATTATTATCCCTAACTTACAGATAAGAGTACTGAGGCCATACTGCTAGCAGAGCTCAGGTCTGAACCCAGGTCTGACATGGAATACATTTCAAGCTGGAAGGAGCTTGACAAACTATAGGCCAGGAGGCTAAGGACATCAGTAGTGCAGCAGGGATAAGAACCCAAGTCTCCCAACTTCCAGCCCAGGGTCTGCCACCAGGCTGGCTGCTTGCAATGCTCTAAGTGAAAATGAGTCCTAAGCTCTGTAAAGCATCTCAGGAATGAGAGGATTAGGAACTCTTGGTCTTCATGCAGCACCATCTCTTAGAAAGGGCCCTCCAAAACTCCTTTTCCCAGGGACGAAGAGGACGAAGAAAAAAGGGAGGAGCTACTCAATGCCACGCCCAAGCTGTAGTTGAAAGTAGCCTTGAAGACAAGACAGCCTTAGGCCCAACATGGCCAAGCCTGGAGGCCTGTGGGAAAGAAGGCTGACCGACTTCATCTGGCTTCCTGCCCGGCACAGTCTTTCAAGCCTCAGGGTCCCACCACCAGGCCTCTGCTCTCGCTGTGTCTTCCTCCCGAATGCCCTTTCTAGTGTCCTCACCTGGCCCATATCCAGGTGCAGCTCACAGGCCTTGCATCCCCTGATCTTACACGACCAATGTGCAGAAGGAACATCTCCCTGTGGCTCTGAACCCTCAAGTCTTCCTTTGTATTTCTGCTCTGGACCTTCCCATTCTTTACCCTGGATGTCTTTTTTTTTTTTTTTTTTTTGAGACAGAGTCTGGATTTGTCATCCAGGCTGGAGTGCAATGGTGCAATCTCGGCTCACTGCAACCTCTACCTCCTGGGTTCTAGCGATTCTCCTGCCTCAGCCTCCTGAGAAGCTGGGATTACAGGCATGTACCACCATGCCCAGCTAATTTTTTTATTTTTAGTAGAGACGGGATTTCACCATGTTGGTCAGGCTGGTCTTGAACTCCTGACCTCGTGATCCATCCACCTCAGCTTCTCAATATGCTGGGATTACAGGCGTGAGCTACCTCGCCTGGCACCTTCGATGTCTTGACTTTGACATAGTCTCCCTTAGAACTGGCCTCTGAGGTGCCAGTTGAGTGCATCTAAATGAATGAAGAATGCCTGAGAAGGAGGGTTTGTCTGATGAGTTTTATTAACAGGTGCACACTCCCAGAGAAGGTCTGAATACACATCTCTAACAGGTGCCCTTCTTCCTCCCCAGGGCCATGACCAGCTGCACCTTACACCCTAAGTCCTAAAGGCTGAGAACCAAGTCATTCTGCTAGTTCTGCTGCATCAGGCACAGGTGTGGGGCTTTACAAATGGTGTAGAAAGTAACTGACTGACATATCCACCAGGCCAGCCCAGTTATGGTTTAGCGTTATGTGAGACATCAGGTGAGGGGTTGGGGGCAAGACACCCAGAGGAGGGTCCTGCCCCCAGGAGGTCTCCCAGAGGAGAGGGCAGGGGACCCTGAGGACAGCGGCCTTTGGGCTTTGCTCACCTTCAATTCCCAGCATCTAAAACAGTGCCTGGCTCACAGTAGGCACTCGATAGCCATTGGCTGAATAAATAAATTAACACTCACTGACCCAGAGGTGCTGAGCTCACCATATAAGGTAGGGTGGTGCTGAGCGCTGAGCTGGCTGCATGGTGACTCAGAGCTTCGCAGCCCACAGACGAGACAGAGAGTGAGAGAAAGACTGGGGGAGGGCCAGGAGTTTTGTGGTTGACCAAAACCAAGCAAGGGCAGATCTGACAAAGTGCCTGGCCACAGCTGTCTGGGAGGCAGCATCACAAGCTGTGGTTTTCAGTATTTTTTCCACAGAGGAATCTTTTCTTAAATGAAATCACATGCCACACCCTAAATGCAGGACACACTGGCTCGATGGAGGGTAGCAGGGCTGCCAGGCTGGCCTGGCCACATGGACCCTCCTGCCCCGGAGACAGAGCTTCCACTCAACTAGTGCCCATCCCCCTCCCTTCCGTCCTCCTCCGTCACTCTAAGGGGCTTCAGAAAAGCAAGGTTGCGGCTGGTCTTCTGGGAAGGGGCCCATTTAGGACAAATAAACCCTAAAGAGGCTCGAGAAACTTCCCCCAGTCATGAAGGAGTTGAGGTGGGGGAAGAAGGAAAAGACTTTCCCAGTGAGAGGAGGTCTACCCAAGGTGGCCAGGTGCTGGGGTGGCTGAAATAGTGGCGCAGCCATCAGCGAGTGCAGGGGCTCTTTATGAGAAGGACTATCTGGAACAATCATTTTGGAATGTGAAGCATCACTTGCAGATAGATCCATCAAATGTATGGGTGTGTGTGTATGTGTGTGTGTGTGAGAGAGAGAGAGAGAGAGAGAGAGAGAGAGAGAGAGAGAGAGAGAGAGAGAGAGAGTCGGGCTTTCAGATACTAGATTCACTAAAAATGAGGCACTCAGAGAGAGGCCAATACTGGTACCATAAATCACAGGAAGGACCCCAACTGGGACACATGCAACCACCTGGGCGTTTCATCGCCCCCGACTCCCACCATGACACCAATAGGGAGAATCTGCTGTTCTGTTTGCTAAGCATTCTTTCTCCTTTTTCTAAAAATAATGCCTAGATTTCCCCTTGGAAGTCCATCCCCTTTCATGCATTCAGGCTGACTTCCCCAACCCATGACACCTCCTGACCTCACCATGCCACCACCACCCACCACTGGTCCACCACCCAGCACTGGCCACCACACACCACTGGCTCAGTCTGGCCAATCAGCATATCTTAGCCTCCAGGTTTCAGTGATTGGTCAGAGGTGGTCATGTGACCCAAGACTATCCAATAAGCCTCAACGCTGGGATTTTTGTTGAAACTCCTGGGAAAAAGAGGCTCTCCTTCCATTGAATTTGAAATGAGAAAGGCGCCCATCTGGAGCTGCAGGTCCCTGCCCTGCTGCCACATGGTGAGTGCCTGCCAAGGACTGAAGGTCACAAGGAGGGAAGCAGAGAATCCAGTTGTGGTGAGACACAGTTCTGTCTAACAGCAGCATTTGAGCCCTGGATTCAGCCCTGACTGCCTTGAAACCTATAAATAGGCCCCAAATCATCACTATATTAGAAACCAATAAAAAAAAACTAATAAAATGGCCTATCTTGCTTAATCCAGTTTAAGTTGAATGTTGGCTCCCAAATGATGCAGCATCTGACCTCAGTTCAGCCTTTGCCCTCTTCACCACCCACTGCAGCCAACCTTTACTTCTGACCCACCATTGGTTCCTGCTTACCTGGACAATAGCTCCACCCTTCCCCACACGAGCCTGGGGTCCATGAGCCAGCAACCTGATGGGCCAGCCTGCACCTCAGCCCTCTCAGCTATCTGGCCCCTCTAAGGGTTATCTTTTTGGTGAATCTAGTGACACCCCAGAACCCCTGGCTCAGATCCACTCACACTATCTGCACCCGTTACTATCCTGCCATGGACCTTTGGCATGATGGGGGAGACAGACACTAATCCATGAAAGAGAATGAATGATAGAGAATGACAGGTGCCCTGCTGACGGTTACCGTTAGCAACAATAACAGCAACAACAACAAAAGTAGCAAAAATCCCCCAGCTGCACAAGCCTAAACCCTGTTACCTGGAGAGCCAGCGTTGAAACGTCTGCAAAAGGATTATGCCCGCGTCTCCAGAAATCAAATTCAAGGGGTTCCAGTTGCTTTATAGCAGTGTTAGAAGCTCAGCTCATCTGAAGCTTGAGGCTGTCTGGGAGATGCTCACCTGTGAGAGAAGCAGAAGCAATCATGATTACCTGCCTGAGCTGAGGTCTCTTTCCCTTTGCAAGGCTCTCCCAGCCCTGCAGGAGGCGGGGTGATGAAACCAAGACTGCAGGAGCCTGGGGTAAGCATTCGGATTGGGGATTCAACATCTAGATCTGACTGAAGTAGGCTGGAAATAATCCTAAGACACAAAGGTATGCATGTGCCCAAGTACACGCATGTGGGGTAAAAATACATAAGCATCCTACCCCCTGCATCTAGCATAGTGCCCCTTGCAGAAGGGAGAGGAGGCGCAGCAAATGTTTTATGATTTGCTTTGATGTAAAACATAATTTGTATGTCTGAGTTCAAGGCAACTCCATGGGCCCAAGCAGATTGGAGAGAAGTTTCTTCAATGCAAGAAAATGCATTCCCGGGATGCTCCAATGCAGCCAGACCAATGGCCTCTTTCCACCAATAAGGAGACTGATACCCAGAGAGGGGCACTGACTTGCTCAGAGTCACACAGCAGCAAGCTGGTGGCAGAGGAAGGCCTAGACTCTGAGTCTCTCCTGACTCTTGCTGAAGCCTCTCTTGGGACCATACCCTCCTCTGTAGCTGTCAAACTGGAGCAGCCCCAGGAGCACAGCAGGAGCCTGTGGCATGCTGTGGTGGGGGAGGGGAGAGGATGCTCACCTCCCAGTCGTGGGCCTCAGCAGACAAGACTTTTCTGGCTCTGCTCAAGCCCAGACAAGGAACAGGAGGTTGCCCACAGTGGCCAAGAGCATGGGCTTTGGAAACATGTAGACCTTGGCCACGGGCTGGCACAACCTCCCTCCAGAAGGGGGAAGTCAGGGGTCCTCTCAGAGCTTCAGACTCTTCATTTGTAAAATAGGAATAATAATAGCATCTTTTCCCAAGGATTTCTGGGAATTAAAATGACTTTCATAAGTCTGTGAAGCCCACAGAGGAGCATTTGGCATATAAAAATTGCTCAATAAATGCTAAGGAGGCAGCACAGAGGAGGATAGTGCTGTGCATGCCAGGAGAGGTGGAACACCGGACTTGGAGCTGCCTTGTGTTCCTGGCAAGTCTTTAGACAAACAGCCTCTCTAAATTCCGCCAGCCATTTTCTCTTCTGCACCCAGCTTCTCCCTTTTCTCTACATCTCAGAGACCTGAGCGGGCCCCCAGCCCAGCAAGCCTGCCCCTCTTTCTAGGCTGGGAACCTCCCACCTGCCTGTAGGATCCCCTTACCCCAGTCACCAAGCACAACCCACATTTCACCAGCCAGCAAAATGCAAATGTCATTAGCACTCTGCAAGCTGGTGAGCACGAATGTCACACCAGACGGTGTGAACTGGGGAGGGATGGGAGGGTGGATTCCCCAGGAGGGGTGGCATTCCCAGCATTTTCCAAAAGGGCATGATAAAGAAATAAATAAACGGCTGCAGGAAAGAGGTGACAACAGAGACGGTTTCGGTAGCAGCATCCACAGCCACGCCGTCCTTGCAGGCTCACCAGGGTCACCCATGGTTCATGCTTCAGCCACCCCTGTCCCAGTCCCCACAGTGTGTCTCTCTCAGCCTCTCTGGGCCTCTCCTCCCCAGCATCTCCACTCATCTCTGTAACCCGCCATCACACACTTGATAAAGAGACTCATCTGAAGACCCCCTTGGCCTCCATCTTTCCCCCAACTTCCATGTTCCCTCAAAAAGGCTGAGAAAACCAGATCACCCACCCAACTAACAGATCCGTGGAGGGAGGAGTCTTCACTCTCAGAAGGAAGTGACAACTGTAGACGCACAAGCAGGAGTCCGAGGTTCCAGTCCCAACACCACACTAACTGGCTGTGAACACTCAGGCACACCCTCCCCTGCATGGGGCCTCAGTTTCTCCATCTGTGAAACGGGATCACCAACCCTTTATCAGTCTCTACCATCTCTCAGGCCAGCTTTGAAACCTGCACTTCTAATAACTCACAGGCAGAGGAGCTTCTCCTCCACTAATTCCCCTGATAACGCCTGTGGGCATGTGAAGGCTTCCTGGAAGAGGGGGCAGACATGGGTGTGTGGAGATGGCAGCAGGGTGCTGCGGGCAATGGGCCCAGGGTGAGCACAGGCATGGACATACCTGGACGTGGGGGTGGGGGGCAGGTGTTTGAGACCACAGGCCAACGCTGCCGGCGAGAGCTGAGTAGAAATGAGACAGAAAGGTCCTGTGGTCAGTGCTTTACGTGTGTCCACCCACTTCATTCTAACAGTGCTATCGTTCCCATTTTATTGATGAAAAACTGAAGACTGGAGAAGCTAGGTAATTTTCAGACACACAGCTGTGAAATAGACTGAATTTGAACCCCTATTTGCTTTATGAGCCGAAGCTCTCGATCACTGTGGGATGCTGCCACCTAGATTGTTTAAAATAGAGCGTGAACTAGAGACATTGAGGACGTGTGTCACGCATGTGTGCATGACTGTCAGGAGCATGTGGGGGTGGACATGCATCTGTGTGTTGGGGGATTCAGGGTGTGAACATGTGTCATTGTAAACGCATGTGTGTGTCATCCTCAGATAAAGCTCCTTTCCCAAGACCAGGCCCAGAAATGCCAGTTGGGGAGGACACAGCTGAGTGGTGGATGGGGCTGGGAGTGGACAGTCACAAGGCCCTGGTCAACCCCACAGCCCAGGAAGCCCAGCTCTGAGGGCGGTGAGCTGGGCCTGGCCCATGTCACCTGTCTTCTGATCCCACACTACTTGAGGCCAGATCCCTCTCACTGAGGTCTGGTCTGGCATTTTCCTTGGCTCTGTCTCCTTCACTCTTTAGCTGCCTGCTCCAAACAGGGGAATACATCCTGAAGATCAGGTCTGGCATAAACACAAGGCTGCTGCCAGCAGGTAGCCATGCCAGTTAGCATCAGCATCCACAGGGAGTCGGAGAGAGCACAGCCGTGGCACAGCCTGACTGGCATTCCAGGCCTGGCTCCACTGCTAGACACTGGCTGTGTGGTCGAGGCAGGCAACTCACATCTCTGAGCCTTGGTAAAACCTCCCAGAGCAGCTGAGATGCCTATCTTAGGTCAAGTTCATGCAAACTGTCAAGTGCATGATCACCAACAGAGTGGTAGTTCTAATCCCAGTGATCAAGATAACCCAGGAAATAGCAGAGAGATTCCCAGGGAGCCTGGACTGAGAATTCAGTGGATTCTTTTACCCAAGTTCCTCTTTCCTCACCTCTGGGCCTCAGTTTCCTCATCTAAGAAATCCTCAGGCTCAAAAACAGAGTTCTGTGCAGCCCCTAGATGTCTCGTTTTCTTTACCATTATCCACGATGAACATCATAGCTAGAATTGATTTGCCAGAAACCAGAAGGCCATTCACACAGCAGGTGGCCTCCAGGTGGCTAAGGAGGGGTTCATCATATCATTATGAATTCAGAGGATTGAGAGGCCCCAGAGAAGGTGTCCTGGAGGATGGGGAAGATTGGAATGTATGGAGATGAGAGAAGGGCCCTATAGGCAGAGAGACCAGGGCATGGGGCTACCCAGGTGTGGGTAGGTATTCGAGACCATGAGCCAAGCCTGCCTGTTGGGGCAGAGTGGGAAATGAGACAGAAACTGAAGGCAAGGGGTGGATGATGAAGGTCCTTGAATGCCAGGCCAAAGATGATGGAATTTATCCACAGGCAATGGGGAGCCACTGATGATCATAGGGCAGAAGTGTGCTTTCTGGAGATTAAAAGCAGCAAGCAGTCCGGGCAAGTGGAAACAGAAAACCAGAGGATGGAAGGAGGATGGAAGGAGGATGGGTGGGGCCTGGTGAGGGGTAGGGTTGAGGGGATAAAAGGGATGTTGACAGGCCAAGGGTAGAGATGGGAGGGAAGGTGGTGGCTGATTTAGACACTGTGAGGGTTAATTTTAGGTGTCAGCTTGACTCACACAGACATTTTGGGTTTGCATCCCAGCTCTGCCACTGTCACCAACTGTGTGACCTCAGGCAAGTCATTTAACCTCTCTGGGCCTCAGTTTCTTCCCCTACAAAGTGAGAAAAAATAAAGCCACCTCATAGGAATGTGAGATTCAACCAGCTTATATATGAGAGCCACTGTGAATACAGTCATTGTTGAATCCTAGCTTTTAAAATTTATTACTTTTATTAACTAGTGATGTCTTTCCCGTATTACGAATAAAGACACTCCAGCTCAAGGTCGAATAACAGGCTAGAGATGGCTGTACTGGGTGTCAAATCACAGGAGAAGCAAGTTATGAGCAAATAAACCTGAGATGACTCAGAAAAGAGTCTTGATTTTAAAATATTGTTAAAGAAGAAGGGTATTTTATGACTTTTGCGCAATGTGCTTATTAAACCCAAGCTATAAATGTGGACTAATAAGTAAAATGAGTTAATGAAAAAAACAACCTTCAGGATGAATCCATATTATCTAATGGCAGTCCATAAACATAAACATAAACATAAAATTTTAAAATACAAGAATGAATTGCAATGCCCAGCAGTTCAAGGAATCTGCAATTTCTCTGTCTGAGAAATAAAAGCTATTGATTTCAGCTGGGTTCTCATTGCTCATGAGTGAGTCTTTGGGAAGTCATAAAGGAAGGAATTATTTCCAATTGTTTACTCACTGAGGATCATATGTATTGAATTTAAATTGTCTCCGATTCCTAATTAGTATACAGCAAATTAGAATCTGAGTACAGCAGAATGGGAAGGGCCCTTGGAGGCCTCTTAGCTGAGTTTTTCTTTGTTTCATAGACCAGGAAGCAGAGAGACAGAGAAGGTGAGTGACTGGCTCAAGATCACACAGCAGAGGTAGGATCCAGGTGAGAACCAGGGCTCCTCACTCAGGTCAGCATCCTGCTTTGGTCCCCACAGTGGCCAAGATCAGGTCACTAAATCCAGTCCTAATGGGTGTGCTGTGCTGGTACCTGGGCCTCAGCCCAAGTGGTTCCTATAATGAGAACCTTCTCCCAGCAGCTGGGGAAAAGGAATCTGCCTAAGAAAGGGTCCTC